AAGTAAGTGCAAGTAAGTATTCTAGTGCCTGCCTCCAAGAATGGGAAGGAATGGAAAAACCACCATGATATAAGTCCCATATTTTTAGGCGGGTTCAGACTACGCGAGAATGAGCCAACCAAGTACTCCTATTCTTGGATATCAACAACTCCGCTCATCGTGGATCTTCCATGGCAGATAACGGAGGATGACGGCACATACAGCAGATTCCCTATCTCATGAGGCCTCAACAGAAATTTGTTTTAGATTCGAACAAATTACTTAAATAGAGTTGTAATACTGATTATCGTACAGCCTCATCTCAAAATATTTTAGTCACGTCAGGTTGCCCGCTTTTGAAAGTGTACTCTGTACAAAATGGTTACTTAAGTACTCTGCTCTATCCTCACTATCCTAATAAACTCAAATGTGTTATAAAAACGCAAAAAAATGTTCTTTCTTGTTTGACAGCAAAGTATGCCTTCCTGAGATGTTATACTTTAAAAAAGTATCTATCGGTTTTGAAAAAGTTTCTAAGTTGCCGAGTAATTTTTAACAAAAATGCACGCTCTGTTAATTGTGTTTTAGAATAAGTAGACACTTCCCATCTATGTGAGGAGTTCTCATAAAATTTTTTTTATGGATTTGGAACAAGTGGTATAAGCACTAAATAGCATTTACAAATGAACGGAAACGTTGCTTAAGGGATGCACATGGTCGTAAAAAATCTCATAATTAGAAAGTTTTTTTGAAACCGAAAGATATCCCTTTTTCAAGCATAAAATCTGAAGAAGGCGTAAGTTGCTACCAAATAAGTACAAGAAAGAATACTTTTGGGCATTTTTCTATAATCTATATATAAAGTTATAAGAGAAGTGAAAATCAATGAGAAAAATGCATACTACTTAAATGGCCACTTTTACAGAATATAGTTTTCGCCGGTGGTTAAAGGGAAGCTCATTCAAAAGCCGGCATCCTAATGTGACTAAAAAGTATTGAGATTAGGTTGCACTGTAATCAATATTACAATAATACTTAATTAATATGTTCAAATCGAAAGCACATTTCAGAATTTCGGCTGAGGTTTCCTGACATGGGGAATTTACTATAAATAAAAATCATCGCTGTAGTCAAGGCATAATATCGCTGCATCACTGCTGACGTTTGGTCTGCAAAAATCTTCCAACTCTTCGAAGACGAGGCCAAATGTTGTCGCCCATCCCTGTGGAGGGTGCTGACTTCGCACTCCCAGGCTAATCGGGATCAACTACAGTGACGACACATCCATACTAACACAGCTAGCTATGGCTACCAGTAGAATGTAGTTCCATGGCTGAATGTGGTCGCCAACTCTGTCAGTTTATCCATAAACGCCGGAGAGGTACGCTTCTGATTTGGAGAAGGCAGTTTTCAGTTGAAGTGGGTTTCAACTAAAAATGGACCGTTTAACCTATTTCGGGGCAAAATTGCTAGCAACTGGATAGACCGTGGCCGCCATTGTCACCCGAGTGGATGCCGTTCGCAGATTTTTTCTCAGGCCTTACAATGTATACATAAACTCATCACGATTACTCTATCACTACAAATACTCATGTGTATCGGGCAACCATCAGGTTAGTTTTCCTACACTATTGTGAAGGCTAGGCTATATGTGCACGCATGCGGAACTAAATGTTGTTTACGAATATGAGGGAGGGTTTTGGGGGAGGGAAAGAAAGTGAATCTGAGATGTCCAAGACCAAAATATCGACTCAAAAAGAGTTCGAATGAGTATGAACAAAAAGTGGGGGGGGCAATATTCTGAAAACGTGACTTCCATTAGGACTATAGTCATAACTTTTCAGCTAAAAGGACAGTCACTTGCCTTCAGCATTCTCAAGCAAATTCTGTCATCCTCCTTTAAACGAAAAGCAATGAGCACGTGTCCGTAGCAGAGCTGCTCCTTCGACACCGGAGCAAGAGCCTTGGGTGTGATCAGCGACGTCAGACGGCTGAGCCAACGCTGAACTGAGGGGATTCTCAAGGACCGGGACGACTCTGCTGTAGAG